AACATCTATCCAAGACTTATACATTGCTAGCCGGCCGGGGGTGTCGGCCAGTGCCGGCTGTGACCAACAGGGTGCCGATTCCATACAGCAGTGGCTTCCTGGGCCATTGCTTTCGCATGCTTGGCAGCCAGGACGACTGCCCCCTCATCTGTAAATAAACAGAAGTAGACCAAAATTTGTTACAATCCAGAATTCACAGAGAACTACTCACGCAACAGTGATTGACCACCAAACCCATCTCCATACCTCGGTTGATTCCCTCCAGTGCCGGAGTAGGAGGTGCAGCTCGTCCACATCCATTTCTGGCACCACCAATGCCGTGATCCATAGCCGTCCTAGCAGTATTACCTCTTCCACGAGTTGTACAACGTTCAAACCAGGCAATCTACGTTGTCATGCACCGATTCAATATGAAATAGGAGACTGAAAAGTTCCACTAATTTTATTTCAACAGCAAATGAGACTATTTTCATTATTCAGAGATTTCACGCAGATGTGGTACAAATATATATAGCCCACAAACTAAGCAACACCCTGTAGTAAGAAGACAAAATAAGGACATTCTATAACCATCTATGAACTAAATAACTGGAAAACTTAAAGCAACTGTGCCTTGATGATGAACCTGCACTTCTTTTAAAAACTAAATCATAAAACTAACAGTGACACATATGTGGTAAATTGTTGTTGCCCCCTCAGTCGTTTATTTCATAAGAATTTCCTTACCTGAACGATGAACAATCATAGCATTGCTTTGATGATAAGAGAAAAAATGGCAGCTGAACCTCATTTTTAGCACTTTTTAGAAAAAATGCTGCAAGTCAAGCTCTGCAGTTTATTTGCACATAATAAGGTCAATTTCCAAGCTTCTAGTTTAAATATCCATGACTACTTCCCACCAAAGCACAATGGTCTCGAACATAAATAATTAATCCCTTGGAGAAAGTTTGTGAATAATTTGCTATACACTTCCAAAATCCCTCACTCCTGGGTCTTAACTATACAAAGAAATTACATGCATTGCACATTCATACATAATCATACCTAAAAATTAGGAAACAGGGAGGACAGAGTCATCCTGCAAGGAGGGATTGCACACGACTGGAATCTGAGCAAGCCTTCGCAGACTCTTCAGTGGGGTTGATCTGGTTGTATAGCGAGGACGTCCTCCTGCTCACACACGCATCCCAAACAAATCAGATAAAATCAAGCACCAACAACCATAAGAAGATAAGAACATAGACAGCTCACACCTCCTCAGTCTAACAGGAAGCTGGTATGTAACTGAACCGTGCGTCACCGGAGACAGGATCACTTCAGAATGACTTCACCAGCTGTGGCCTGCGGCAGAGCCCCTAGCACATTTAAATTAATCCAAAATATAATCAGAGAAGTGAGGGAGAAAGCAATCGACCGTACTTATTTGATGCTTGCATTCTAATTGCCATCAGGATGAGGTAGATGCACGATGTAATTCACAATTGCTAGGTCTTTCTCAAAGCAAATGTAAAAAAATCGTTAGGATCCAGATATAGCTGGGGTTGAATTGGGCACCTTGCACTACGGGTAGTTAATCGGAAGGATCTAACCAACTGTAGCAAGACAGTAAGAGGAAGACCACGCAACCGAGCTTTTCAACCGATCCAGAGACTTGCCACGGCTGCCGCCTGTCTGGGTTACTTACATCGTGTGCAAGGAGGAGATCCGCATCCTGTGCGAGGAGGTCCGGACGGGAGGAGGTCACCGCCGCGCTGCACGGTGATGGACACGGAGGGCGTGGGATGCGAGATGGATGGGGATTGGAGTCACGGATCCAGAGCCCGCAGGATGGATGGGGATCAGAGTCACGGATCTAGAGCCCGAGGGCGGCTGCCCATCGCCGACACCCACGCACGCAAGGCCGTCGGGACGGGAAAGGGCACCGCCACGGTCGAGAAGAGATCACAAGCAATTCATGACCACACAAAACCACATATCAGAGCAAAGGCGATAAGATAACAAATGAACAAATAGTTAATCTTGGAGTAAAGCCATAGAATTGACAGTGCAAAGCTGAATGTAAAATCCGAGCACGACATCATATCCAACTAAGATTTGGGATACCTTTTCCTGCAAGCAGGGCACACAGCAACAACATCCCCAAAGCTAAGCATCAGTTCGAATATATGCCCAATCCGCCATGCCACTGGAAGTAACTTCTAAGCACCTGAAAGATTAATCTTGTATCAGACTATCAGTAGGCAACAACTACATAGCAGTAAATATATGTGAGCATAGCACATAAATCAAAACACAATTTATATGAAAGGATCAATTATTAAAAGGAGAAAACCTTAAGACGGCGTAGACGAGGAAAGCAGCCCCAAAAAACATACTGTAGTGGTTGATGATGAATCCTAAACTCATCCCAATCTACTTCACTTCAATGGCGGTGTGCCAAAATTGGATTACAAGCACTAATTGTAGAAATAAGAATGTGTTGACATTGGGCAACATCGGTGAACTCATCAACGGCAAGTACAGCACACAAGCAGGAGCAGCGCGCACTGATTGTTTGAGGTTTCAACGTTAAGACGGCAGTGGGAAAAAAACTGCAGTGATTACCTTGCAGAGGGAGAGTTCGGCCATCTAGCCTGCCATTTTGTATCACACCGAAAGATCCAACCTGAAGCTACCCTATCAAAAATCCACAGAAGTTGAAAGATGATTATTGAATAAAAGATCGGTACAGGTGAGTCATTACATGAGCAAGGAACTATAGATGAGAACTAAACAAAACCTAACAAATCACATGGTCACAAGCACCAGTGCTCCACCACGCCGGATCGACAGTCTGTCGGATCCTGCTGAGGAAGAAGAAAGGATCCCACTGGACACATAGATTCGACACCCTTCTCCGTGGACGACCGTGGATCTGGCTGACCCTACATGGATTCGACCCTCGCTTGTTAAATCCGAGCCAAAGGGGAGGGGAGGAGAGGGAAGGGGCCATGATGACTGATGACCTACCGTTGCCGTAGGTGGATCTGCCGAGACGCAAACCCAAGGAAGAGCAGGGGGCTGGGTGGCTGCCGTAGCCGCCGGTGTATGCCGCCATGGCTCCGACCGACTTGAGGAAGAATAGAGGCGGCCTGGAAGGCGCCCTTGTCCCGCCTGGTGGCCGACGCCCTCGCCCTGGTGGCCTGCCTCGCTCGCGTTGGCCTTGCTGGCCTTCTCGGAGCTCCCGCCTACGGCAAGCGCCTCGACCACAACCGTGCTGACCCGCCGACGGTGGCGCGAGCGTGGAAGCGTGCGAGGGCGATAGTGGTGCAGGGTGCGGGGATGGGGATGGGGAGCGGCACGCGCCGCGGCGGCCCGTGGGATCTAGCGGGTCGCATGGTGGGTGGGGGCGGTGATTGCGGCTTTCCGTTTTTAGAGCGACTTGCGCGCGGACGGGAGGCAGGGATCGCAGGGGGAGAAGCGAGGCGACCCCAAACAAATGTGGCACCAACAAAATTACCTTAGTTTTGTTCTTTTTAGTTATAGGAGAATCAATCACTAGCTGCATATTTGTTGCGACATCATGCGGCTTGCACTCGAGACTTGACAAAACAACAAGTTTCATACTGCTAATAACTTCCTGCCAACAAACTGCTACACACGTACATACGCACTCGCCGTTGTTGTTGTCATCGTCAAGTCGCTAGTGCTGTACGTTCCATGCATGTCTTGGGTGTCTATTTTCTCTTGATTGCCCTTTTTTTTTTTTGCCCAAAGCTCATTACATTAACTAATTCATATTCCAAACTAAAAAGAAGAAGAATAAAAAGTAAAATCAAAGTAGCAGTCTAGAACTTTAGTAAGGTACTCTCTCCATTTCAAAATATGTAATGCATGTTGAGATTTTAAAAGGAACATGGTATATGAATTATGAAATGAAACATGAGCGGAGTGCGAGAAGCAAAGGACGAATGCCACATTTCGGGCTTCTTGTTGTCGCAGGAGGTGGGGCAAGGCAATGCATGCAGATGCCTACGCGGGCCTCTAGAAATTGGGCTTGTTTGCGGGCCGTTGGATACGGCCCACAAATAGTTTCCTGGACGGAGCGGATAGGAATTGTGCTTGCTTGCGGCCTTGCGGGTTGCATACGGACCACAAATAGCTCCCTGGACGGACGGATCGGAAGTTAATGGATCGTCGATCAGGGTAGGCGTGCCGTATTGTTACTGATGGAGTTTAATTTTGGTTCTAAAATATAAAACCTGAGCAAACTCTTATCTAAAAAAATTGAGTTTAATTTGGCATCGTACATCGGCGAGGTACGTTATTACGTGTACAATATGGATCTGGAGAACGGCGGCGGCGCGGCGAATAACCAGCAGGTGCAGCCAGAAGAAGAAGAAGACGCGGGCGGCGGCAGCGACCAGCTGGCGACCCCCGATCCGGCGGCGGACTACCTGACGTCCGGCGAGATGGCTGTGCTGTGCTCTCGTCCCTCGGCGCGCTGCTCCTCGGCTTAGCATTCACGACCATCCCCTGCACGATGGAGCGCGACTCGATCGTGTTCCAGTCCGACAGCGAGGAGAGGGCGTACGTGGCCGAGTTGGCGAGCGGCGTCGTCGCCCTCGGCCTCGGGTGCGGCTGCGCGCAGCCATCCTCGCCCTCCGGTGCTGCCGCGGCTCACATTCATTCGAACTCGGCTGAGAATTCGCCGGGCACGCACAGTTTAGTATTAACTTCGATCTGCTCCCGATCAAAAAAAAAAAAACTTCGATCTGCTGGTGTCCGCCCTGCCTGCCCTGCACTCCAGCAGGGCATTCCAATGTGTGTGTGTGTGTGTGTGTGTGTAATGTATAATGATCATCATATGACATCATCTGATCCCATGAACGCAAGCTTTTATTTCCAAATCACTAGCTGCTTATTTGTTACAACATGCGTATGGACTCGATGGAGACTTAAGAAAAAACAAGCTTGGAACAGCTAACTTTCTCCCGTTTGTTGTTCACGATCGATGCGATCTAGAGCACGAGGCTGCCGGCGGCGTCGACGACGGTCTCGACGACGGACCACGGCAGCTCATCTCCAGCAGCGCCGGCGTTGCGCGCGGAGCAGTTGGCGCGGACCTGTCCCAGGGACCCCGTGAGCACGTTGATCTGCCCCATCTTGACGTACGAGTATACAAACTGCTGGAAGAAGGCGTTCTGGTCAACAGCAAACTTTGTCACCAGAGGCCTGGTGGTGGCGTTGCTGAGCAGGTCCTGGTCCGACGTGAAGAGGCCCTCCCGGTTGAGCAGGTCCACGTAGTACTTGTTGTCGAAGGTGTTGGGCGTCCGGACGTCGTTCACCGTGGTGTTCACCGTCGTGTTGGTCGGGCACGTCCCGTACAGCTGCCCCGCGAAGAACTTGTTCAGCGTCGGGTCCTGCGTCGGGAACAGACGGTTGCCGAAGGAGCTGCAGTGCGCGATGCCCACGGTGTGGCCGCCGGACAGCGCCACCAGGTCCGTCGCGTCCAGGTTGATCTTCGCCAGGAAGGACAGGAGCGTTGGCACCTTGGACGTCGGCGATGGGAGCGCCGCCAGGACGGCCGCGTTCGACGCCGCCGCTAGCCCGTCTCGCCTGCCCAGCGGCACCTTGTACGCCGGACCGCCACCCTGTATAAATAGCTGATTATGAGCTGATGAAGAAGTGTGGCTGCTGTTAGTTAACAACTCTGACAATTAGGGCATGTTTGGTTCCCGGCTCCTAAATTTAGTCAGTTAAACTACCTCCTAAATTTTAGTCAGGCAGCGTTTGGTTTGGTGGACTAATTGTGACTAAACTTGACATGTGCATATTTAGGATGACCAAAACGCCCCTAAGCTCCTGCCCCTGGCATTTGGCCGGCATTTGGCCGGCGGGTGGTGCGGCGAGCGGAACAAGGCCTCGGCGCCGCCTCCCCCGCCGTGGGCGCAGAACAAGTCGGCTGCAGCCATCGAGGCCTCGTCGGGGCCGCTCGCCGCCGCGGCCTCCCGCCTCTCGGCCCGCTCCCATGCGCTCCCCTCGTCCCGCGACTTCCACTTCTACAACAACTTTGCGGACTTCAAATCCCCCATTGGCGCCGCGGCCGCCAAGGCCGATGCCTCCCTCGGCGTGGCCCCGCTTCTCCCGACGCGGCAGCAGCAGCTGTTCCCCGGGGGCGGCGACCTCGACGACATGCACGACTGGCTCGTCGCCCTCAACGACGACCTGCTCGAGCGTTTCGGCGCCTCCACGGACGAGTTCAAGGCGCTGCGGGAGAAGGAGGAGGCCTCCGGGCGGAGGGCGGCGTCGGAGGCTGGGGACGGGCTCGGGACATGGCAATTATGAGGGGCACCACCTGTCCAGGTGGGCTTTTAGTCCATTTTAGTAAGCTTTGGGTTCCTAGTTGGCTAAATGCTATTTAGTCATATTTAGTTAAAACGTTTGGTAAAAAAGTTACTAAAAGAGACTAAAGCTACTAAATTTAGGAGCTATTGGCTGAACCAAATACCCCCTTACACCAGTAGTTAGTTAGTTAATAATAATAAAGCGATATCAGGAAGATGACCACGACGACGGTTGCTGCTAGCCGACATCGACGACCAAGGCCTTGTTTAGATTGCAAATTTTTGCAATCTGGACACTGTAGCACGTTTCGTTTGTATTTGACAAACTTTGTCTGATCATGGACTAACTAGGCTCAAAAGATTCGTCTCGTGATTTACAACCAAACTATGTAATTAGTTTTTTTTTTACCTACATTTAATGCTCCATACATACGTCCAAAAATTAATGTAATAGAGAGAGAGCGAAAAAACTTGAAATTTTAAGGCAATCTAAACCAAGCCCGAGGAACCCATCTGATCCGCGCACAGTGCCCCATAATCCAGCCACGTGGGGAGACAGTGACACGTACGTCTCATCTGCCACTGCAACTGCCCTAGTACTGTACTTTGCCGCTGCATTTTCAAAGGGACGAATACAACCGAGACCAGACCATTCAGCCGGGTTTAGTTTCTCAAAAAAAAAACTTTAAATTGAGTATTAAATATAGACTAAAACAATAACTAATTGTACAGTTTACGAATAATTTACGAGACGAATCTTTTAAGCCTAATTAGTCCATGATTTTACAATAAAGTGCTACAGTACACACATGTGCTAATAATTGATTAATTAGACTTAATAAATTCGTCTCGCTCTTTGCAGACAAATTCTATAATTTATTTTTATATTAGTATCCGAACACTTCATACAACACCCCCGTATAACACTCGATGTGACATCTAACAATTTTACACGAAGAAACTAAAGGCCTCAACCTTTTGCGTTGACCCGTGCCATTGGCCGGCTCATAAATATACAGGTCTACTAGGTGCTCACTATAATTAATACGTATCTCGTTATTATTAGAAACTCCTCGCAAAAAAAGCACAAATTAGTGGAAAAAAACATTTATGAGCAGTACAAAAGTTGTTGTGGCTTTGTGAAAAGCTTACTACAAGCTGTAGGTTTTTATGACACAGTATGCCAAATACTTATCTAGTTCTGTAAAATTAAGTTCAACTAATATTATCACCCCAGTTACAATGCAAAGGCCTGATTACTTCATATTAAATTTTAAAACTTTCATAAAAGTAGCTACCATTACTTTTATTTTCCTTTGTTTAAAATTATTAAAGTCACTCGAAAGATTTTTTTTTTGTCATTGTCTTGTCTTAATAAATTACATGGACATATTCTGATGGAAAAATAGTGGTTGGATGCATATGACCATGTCATGTCTAAACTACGAGAAAAAATCGTGACAAACTATGACTAGTTTGAAATGGCTCCAACTCCTACAACAACCTCTGTGGATTGGAGCCGGAGCTGTTTTGAACTGAAAAACTAGAGCCACAAAGCATGGCTCCTTTAGTCCTTTATTAAGTGCTTCGACTCTAGATAGTAATTGAGGATATAAATGCAAACACTTTTGTACCTAAAAAGTAGTTTTTTTTTTGTTCCACTACATATATTCTTGCCATGTTGATGTTGAAAAAGTAGGGCCATCCATGTGAAGTTACATGTACCACACGGCATAACATGGGGTGTGCGTGTGTGTGTTTATAACGAGAAGGAAAAGTATAGAATAAAGTACGTGTGTGTGGGATGCATGCCACAACAGTCAAGAGAGTATAACATATATGCGTATGATTGGACGACTTTATTTACTGTGCGCAGATGAATATATAAAGCAACAAAGAAAGCAATCGCGTAGACGACGCGTACTACTATACACGTACCAGGGCAACGGATTCACGGGCGGCGAGCGCGACGATGTCGGCGCAGGAGACGACGCGGCCGCACGCCTGCTCGAGGCGGGCGCGGATGTCGTTGACGGCCTTGAATGCCGCCGGGCGGAGCGTGAGGTTGGGCGGCGACAGCTGCTCGCTGGGCTGGGTGGGCGTGGAGTCGAGCAGGACGGAGGCGTCGCAGCCCTGCACGAAGCAGTCGTGGAAGTGGAGCCGGATCAGCGCGGCGGCGAGCCCCACGTTCTGCCGCACCGCCGACGACAGGAAGTCCCGCACGATGGACTCCGCCTTCGGGCAGCTCTTCTTGTAGAAGTCGAACGACAGGCCCGGCGCCAGCGGCGGGTACCTGCCCTCCAGCAGCTCGACGTCGCCGGCGGCCGCCGCCAGGGCCACCACGGCTGCTGCTGCTGCTACCAGTACCAGCAGAGCAGCAGGGCGCCGAGAAGAAGTAGCCGCCATTAATTGCTGCTCAGCTCAGCGCGTTGCGCCTTGGCTAGCTGCTAGTAGGTAGGTGGGCAGAGGGAGGGATCGGAGGCGTGTGGAGGCCTTGCGCGCTCGGCTGCCTCCATTTATAGCCATGGTTTGTTAGATAATCTACACACGGTAATGAAAGACGGCGTCGAAAAGGCTTCCTACCGTGGTATTATAGCCGCTGTAGAGGTAGGCGTCGAATGGCTCACCTATCGGATTGTAACCACATGCAGAGATAGACGCAGAAGTAAGTCCTGATGTGTTATTTAGTCATTATTGCAGTATGGGAGCTGTACTAGAACTAGATGGATAGAGTTGTATATATAGTTTGCCACTACAACTCAACAAAGAGAGTTCAGATTTGACATCTCCTATACAGGGCTCCAGCCAACGCTGGTGCTTGTACTGTGTGTATGCTATGTTCTCCCTCTTTTCTACCTCTAGCCATAATGTGTGGTCGGACAACGCTTATTCGTGATCGGCATAGCTAGTGGGTGCTCTGTAACACTAGCGGGTGCTTAACGAGACTGGTGAGTGGTCGACTCACCTGAGCACTAGTAAAAAAAGGGCTTATATTCCCGGCTGCCAACCTCCTTTATTCCCGGTTACGTAGCCGGGAATAGGAGTTCGGAAATAAAGGGTCACTAGCCGGGAATAAAAGTGAATCTTTAGTCCCGGTTGGTGATACCAACCGGGACTAAAAAGGTAGCCACGCCAACGCCTGGGCTGGCCCCTTTATTTCCAGTTGGTATTACCAACCGGGACTAAAGGGTCTTTTTTTTCTTTTCCTGCTTATTTCAATTGATGATTATTTTTTGTTTTAATTTGGTTTTTGAATACACATTATTCGTTGCAAAGTAATATACGTATACGCGCGCGTACTGTAAAGTTTTCGCTCGATCAATGCACGCAAGCAACACAAGTAAAAGTAAACTAAAACATAATATTACATTTCATCGTCACATGTAAAGTTTGCATTAATTGTACATTTCATCATCACATGTTCTTTGGATCAATATGAAATTTGGCTTTCATCATCACATATTTGGGTCATAGTAAAACTCGCCGTCGGGAGTTAAGACCTGATCATTTAGAAATCTACCTATTGTCTCTTGGATTGCTTTGAGATGGTGTGTGTCCAGGGTTTTTTCCTTCAACCAACGAGTCTTCAATTTGAGATATGAGATAAAGAAAAAGTATATTAGTATATATATATGTATCAAAAATAATGATAAATAAATTGTATCTATCACAAATATATATATATATATATATATATATGTATGAAGAATATATATATATGTGTACACTTACCCTTTTTTGATCTAGACTAGTTTTTTTAGCACACTATCTTGAACTCGCAAACATAGTATCCACAGAGATTGGTCCCCTGGGGCTGCCGCAGAACCCACTTTACGAGAAAAAGATTCATCATCATCCGAGCATAGGGAAATTGAACTAAGGTAGGTATATAGTACTTACTTTGTATAGCACTACTTTCAGTGGCACTTTGCGTTTCATATGGTGTTCCTGACAGACCTTTTTCCAACAACTACCAAATAACATAAAAAATATTTGGACCATTAATTTGCATGCAGAGAGACTGGAATAGTTTTGCTAGTAAGACTACAATTACCTCTGAATAATATCTATCATCTCTTGGAACTCTTTTTGCTCTTTTCTCATCGAGTCCCAGATGCCTAGAAGACCTTTCTCTAGATCGAGTTCCATCAATATCCAGTGTTCACTGCCATGTCCATTAACACTCATTAATTAGCTAACAGGTACAGTGAACATATATATATGGATACACGATCGTCGACATTATGAAGACTTACCTGAAGTTGTAGGGGAAGAGTATACATTTCTTGTCACGTTGCTTCTCTAAGAACATCTTGATATTGGCCTCCGTTTTTGCTTTCCATGTTGGTTGAGGTTTAGGGTTTTTGAATACGATATGTGGATCAATGAAACCAATATCAGTACACCCTCTCTTTTTGCACTCTCCCATCTCAAACCTGCATCATATATATAGAGTGAGGATAATAAACACAGACATGTACGTACGTAGCGACTTATTATTAATTAGTAGAAAGAATCACTCACAGACAATAGCAGCCGATGAGAGTCTTGTCGAGAGAGTTCCGGTGGACTAGTTGGTGTAATTCAGCTAACTCAATGTACATAACGTCATCGCCATTTTAACCAATGGTCGCCTTTTGATTCTCGACGAAATATAGAACTCTTTCCGTGACACGCGCGCCGAGGTACAAGGTGTTTAGCTTGAACAATTGTGTACCCAGTTCATTGATGGTCTTAGGATTCCATAGACTCTGCCATGCTCATATTTCGCCATTCATCCGCTATGGCAGCACTTTTCGAAGAGAAATCGCCAAGGTCGATACCTCTCATAGCATAAAAGTTAGCAAGTTCCGCCATATCCACTTCTTTATCGGCAGTATTTCCATCATATCCAAGCATATCTATGTTTGAACCATATTCATTAGCAATAACTAGAGGAGGGACTGATTGCAATTCTTGTTCTCCGAGTTGTGCAACAGTTTTCCCTGGTTTAGCAGCTTTCTTGATTATCTTGCTAAGAGTGCGGTCAAAGTCTGATGGTGGCGAGGGCTTACGAGCTTGCCGCCTCTTTTTCTGCTCAGCTTCCACCATCCACCTTAGTTTAGCTGGAGGTAGGTGGAAGTGCTTCTGCTCCTGCTGCTTCCTCTTCCTTATGCCTGAGAAGAATGCTTCTACGGTTTTTTTTAACCGCATCATCTAACTCCTCTTTACTCATTTCACCAGGCAATTTCTGTGGAATTGGCCTTGGTTTCACGGGGCCTTCTTGGCCGTCTTCGTCGGTGGGGCAGATGACTTATTTGTTTGCAGCCGTCTTCCCTGGTTCGTGGGAGGAGGTGGGGGAACAGGCGTTGGAGACCTTTGAGGCGGCGTTGGGGAACGCCTTGGAGGTGATGGCGGCGGCGGCGGTGGAGACCGTCTTGGAGATGGTGGGGATGCAACCGTGTCTTCTACCCCATCGTAACCGTCGCCCGGAGCACTATGCTGGTCTGGTGATTGTACTATTGGACTTAGGTTGGGGGAGGCCCTGCTGTGTGCGTACAGAAGACAATGAGTCAATTGTTATTTAAGAGGCAATATAAAATTAATAAAAAAATTGTTTCGTTCACTTTCATCCGTACCTATTGTGCGGCAACGGCTTCCCAGGAATATTGATGTAGCGCTTGCGCCATGCAATGAATGACTTCTCTACTTCTCCCACGGTCTACTCCCCATCACCTCCATGAATGTCAAGAGGCACATCGCTAAAACCTTCAATAGCTTTATCCACCGAGACGGTAGCATATCCAGCTGGTACTACTGCCCCATGGATTCTTGGTGTCTTGGTACGGTCGATAGGGTTTACAACACCAATAGCCACCTTCACTGTGTCATTATCTTTTGAAATGTGCAGCTCACATGATGTAAAAGGTTCAGTGATGTCATCCACGGGGAAGCGCAGCTCTGCATCTTTTATGGCATCAGGCAGCTCCGTAGAAGCACAACTGCTTCTCAACTGATCGGAGCTAATGTTGATTCCCGGAGCTGTTGTAATCCCGTGGGTACTCAATTGTATTTGCACTTGCCTTGTGACTTCCTCTTGCATTTTCTCTTGCATTTCTTTTTCTCGCCTTTGTGATTCAAGCATCGCTTACCGTGACTCAATAACATATTGCTGCAAGATGCGGATCCTCTCTGCCTCCTCATCCTTCCGTCTCTGGCGGCTTCTGTACGAATCGATCCATTCAGGGAAACTTTGCACCCATAGAACGACCCCTTTGCCTCTAGTTCGTCCACAATGCTCAGCAGTCCTGATGGAATATGTCAGTTCATCTTTCTCTCTGTTGGGCCAGAATAGTCCACTATCTCTAGCTTTTAGAATTTGAATCAACCTTTCTATTGCTCTTTCGAGTTTTGTGCCATGGACGAGCTTCCCGGTGACTGGGTCCAATCCTCCCCCATGACCTAAAAACCAACGCTTTGTGCGTTCAGGCCACGGTGCTAATTTAGGTACGACCCCCTTGGCAATAAGGTCCGCTTCCATTTTTTGGCACTTGGGAACGGAAGTCGCGTAGCCACCTGATCCCATGTTATGGTGGTATTGCTTTTGTCTAGAATTCTCTTGGTTCCTTCTCGCCCGTTCCGCACCTTCTTCTGGTGTCTTGTACTGTACAAATTCCTCCCAGTAGGGCTTTGCCTTCGCGATTGGGCCCTTATCGTTCCAATTTGGAGTCTTGTTCTTCTTGATGTATGATTTGTACAGCTGCTTCTTCCAAGATTGGAATTAGGTGGCCATCTTCTTCATTGTCCAGTGCCTAACTCGCTTCGTCAACCTTTCGTGGGTGATGTCTTCATGATAATCATCTGTTTGGAGCGTGAAATGTGCAAGAACATCTTGCCAAATCAGCTCCTTGTCCTTATCAGAGACATAACTAATATGAGGAGCATTGTTATTTTTTTCCATTCACGGGCATTGATCGGGAGCTTGTCCCTTACAAGGTACCCACAGTGGTACATGAATTTCTATGCATATTGTTCTAGTGGTTCGCCTATAGCCACGTTGAATTTTGAGGTGATGTAGAGGCCTTCCAACGGCTTTTTGGCCCTTCGAACATTCTTTGTGTTCCCCGTCGTCGTCGTCGATCCAGATGGCTATGTACGCATAGAAACACAAAAGGTATTATAAAACGAAGGTCGATCCAGTGGGCTACATGTATGCATAATAAATAAATGAGAGCTAGATATTGAGAAATATATATCTCGCCGGAATTATCTTCATGAACAACTTCCACAACAATATGATCGAGATTCAAGTATTGACTCCCGTCGTCTTCCTGCTGGTCATTATCAACATCGGCACAATGTTCAGTGCCGGCGTTGATAATATCCATCATTTCTGCCTCCAGGTCATCGTCACTCGGGTCGGCCAT